GCGACAGAAATGAACAAAACAGAAAAAAAAAAAAATCACTGTTTTCTGACGTTTATATTATAGTGGGATAATAACCAAATGCTTAACCATATAACCAAATGCATAACTATATAACGTCAGCCAGTGACAAGTACTAAGGGGAAAAGTAAAGCAGAATGAGGAGATGGGGGCGAAGGGTTCACTATCTTAGAGGGCAGGGGTCAGACAGCAACTCTGAGAGGTGACATTTGGGCCTGGACGCAGATGAACAGGGATTCCCGTCATGGGGAGAATGGGGAAGGGTGAGTACCAAGACCCTGGGGTGGGAGTATGTTCGGCGTGTTTGAGGAACAGGAAGGAGGCCCCTGTGTCTGGTGTGCAGTGAAGGAGGGAGGGGAGGAAAAGTCAAGGCTGAAGAAATGGCCAGGCCACGTATGCACATCTGACAGGAGGATTTATTTTAAAGAGAAATAATAAAGACACAATTCAAGAGGGTGGTTATTTACAAGGAGGGAGGGGGGAAGACATGGAGGAGAATACAGGTTGCTGTGAATTACTGTCAATATTCTCGTCCTGGGGTTTACTGGTGGCTCCATGGGTGTTCGTTACAGAGGGAATAAGTAAGCAGCAGAGCCGTGCATGAGCCGAAGATGACAGTCACGAGCCAGGAATTCTCACTAATCTGATTCTGCGCACTGGAGAGAGAAAGTAATTCCCTGGGGCTAAAACTTTATTCTGAAATAAATGTCTATATACCTTGTACTTAAGAAAACCCTCTAAGTTAATACCTGCTTCACTGAGAAGTTCTCTCCAAAGGTTTTGGTGGTTTTTCTCCCCCAAGTAATGTGGGAGGTGTGGCTGCCGTTCTCAGTTCCTTCCGCCCGATGCTCTGAGCAACCTGTGGTTCAGTGTCTGGACCACAGGATCGAGTGCAGGAGAGACCAGGCTCCACGGTGCTGGGCAGGCGCACAGGACAGTGAGCCCTAATGCTGACGCTGGTTCTCACTGGAGGATGTCAGAGCAGTGCAGGGAGGCAGACAGACCCAAGTTCAAGTCCCAGGTCTGCTGCCACTAGTGCGCTGACCTTAGGCAAATCCTGTGGCTTCCTGAGCCTCAAGTTCTCAAGTGTCAACTTGGAGTGTATGAGTCCCGCAGGGACTACTTGGCTGTAGCAAAGAACCGCAAACTGGGGGCCTTAAAACCACAGAAATCTCACAGTTCTGTACCCTGGAAGGAGTCAACAGGCCACGTGCCCTCCGAAGGCTCTGGGGAAGGAGCGTCCCTGCCTCTTCCAGCTTCTGGTGGCGGCCACATTCCTTGGTGTTCTTTGGTTTGTCACTGTCTCTGTCCCTGTCTCACCTGGCATTCTTCCCATGTGTCTCTGTGTCTTTTAATGGGCTTCTTATAAGGATACCCGTCAGTGGATTTAGGGCCCACCCTGATCCAGTGTGACCTCATCTTAATTAGTTACATCTGCAAAGACCCTTTATTCCAACCCTTTATTCCAAGGTCACATTTTGAGGTTCTGGGTAGACATGAATTTCAGAGGGATATTATTCAACAAGGTACGTGGAGAAGATGATATATAACAAAAAGGGCCATAAAAAGAATTAAATTAAATAATGTATATTAGGCACGTAGCACGATGCTAAGCATTCGTCTTCACCATCATCATCTCAGAGAAAGAATCCTGTTTCTGAAAACATTCCTTCCTGTTAGCTAAGGTGACCACAAGCGAAATGGCCAAATAGGTCTAGGTTCAAATCTTGGCTGGGCGACCTCTGGCAAATTACTTAACCTTTCTGAGCTTCAGTTTCTTTATCCACACGGATGGACATATATATCCAACACTTAAATGTCTTTTACTGTGCAGGAGGCACCGTTCTAAAAGATTTATGAATATTGTCTCAGTGAATCCTCAGAACAACCCTGTGAGCTAGGTATTATGATTATCTCTATTTTACAACCAAGGAAGTTGAATTAGCAAGTATTTTATTTAAGACAGTTGTCTAAGGTCACATAGGAAGTAAGTGATGGAACCAGAGTTTAAACCCAGGCAGTCTGGCTCCAGAATTCCCCCAAGATTAAAAGAGAATAAATAAACTGATGTATTTTTGTGTCTGAATATTTGTTCTGATTTAATAAAATGCTTTTTGAAAAAAAAAAGAGAATAAATAATAAAATAAATAAATAAAACATGTAACCAGCGCTCACTCGCTACACGGCAGTCAACAAATGGTGGGACGGTAACTAGGGCTCCCTCGTCCAAACCTTTCCCCTTTGCAGACCTCAGGGATGCCTTTCCTCCTTCCTCTTTCTCGGTTCAGATGTTCTGGTTGTTGACATTAATCCATATTTAAAAGTCCAGGCTGCTCAAGTTCCATTCAGTGTCCTGTGGCATCTTGCCCTTTTTTTCATCTTGTTCTCATTCTCTCCAGTGTCCTGTGACCATGATGCCTGGGTTCGGGGGTGGGGAGTCAGAGAAGGGGAGGGAGCTGCAGCTCACTCTCTGGCAACTGGGGAACGTGGAGGTGGGTGCTTCTCTCCTGGGGTGGGGACAGAGTTAGGTAACAGACTGTAAGACACATCTCAGGGATGTCCGCCCAGCGGGGCCACCCACTAAACCCAGGAACGTGTATGCTGTCCTTGGCACAAAGATCCTTGAGAGAGCCATCGTGGAACAAAACCTCTGTTCGATTTAGGAAAGCCACCACCAGAGAAGAAAGGAAAATTCTCCTGTTGAGGAAGCCGCTCCATGATGGTGGCAGAGGCAGGAGGAATGAGTGGTCCCCTGAGCATCCATCCTGGGGCACCTCTCCTCTCACCCTGCCCCACTCTACCATGAGCAGGAGGTGCTCGCACAGCTCAGTCCAATTTTCTGGGGCTCCGTGGCCCCCACCTGCTGGTGGTCGGGGTTTGCCCTCTGCCAGCTGGTGCGGGAGAAGGCGTAGGAGCCCTGCCCGGCCCGGTCCTCCTCCTACCTTTTGGGCCATTGCCAGAATCCCAGCGGGAACCCGCGCTGTCGCAGAAATTCAGTCATCAGAGAGTGTGCACATTTACCCCAGGACGGGGGAACCGGGTAGACCCAGGGATCACTTAAGCAACTCTGGGCAAATTTGTTCACCCTCCCCGACAGACCAACGTCCCGGAGACAGGCTTTCTCCAAGAGGTAAAGTACGGGGCACCACTTGGCAAATGGTGACGGAAGCGGTTTGCCGCTACCGCCCCACCCTTCCCCTTTCAGGGTCCCGCCCTCTTCCCTCCTGGGGACCTCGTGCCCTCGTGCCATGTGGGAGCACCCACCCATTTAGCAGTCCTGCCTTCCCTCCTTTCTTCCTCATGAGATGTACCTTTCCTCGCCCCAGACTTTTGAGGGCTCGAGCTCATCTTGGTAACAATGGAAGTTATTAAAGGAACAAATCCCTGCTAATTTGTCAGCAAGCTCTGGGGCTGCACCTCCTGGGGGCACCACGCCTGCCTGGGTCAAATGTGGGAAAGCTGCGGCTGGTACAGAGTCTTTAGGTAATTCCTAAATTTGCCTGCTCTGCTGGGGGCTGCTAAGATGTGTGCAGAGCTCACACTTGCTGGGCAGGGGGAGCTGAATCGGAGTACGAAATTACCAGACCGTCACGCAAACCCACAGACACAAATGACGAGAGCTACATGACGTAAATAAGAAAGCCAATATAACAAATTGATAAATATGTACTTTCTCTCCTTTCTTCTCCCAACTTCTTTAAAAGACATAAAATTATATAAAGCAATCATTATAATAATGGGGGGAAAAAAAGAGTTTACGCTTGATGCTGTGAGGCGAGGGCAGTTGCTATGAGCTGGTTGCTAAGTCCCTGAAAACACACTAACAGGAAGTAAGCAAGTCTCTGCGCTGGAAGCAGGGGCTGCCACACACGAGCCTGGGCTCCAGGCAGCCTCACACTTCACGGACTCCTCCTCAGTCCAGCCTGGCTGCCGCCGTCATCCCTCCAGAGTCCCCAGGACCGGGCTGTCACAGGGCTCAACTCAGCCCAGACATTTTGACTGGGATTTGGACTCCTGGGGATTGAAATGAATTGTGCCCTCTGGGAGCATAAATTATAACCAACTTCTTTTTCTATCTGAACTCACTTGGCTTGCCTTTTAACTCTGTCTGTAATGCATGGAAAACCTCAGCTTTTTCCTTGACTTATACCTTCCTCATGCTTATCATTATGTTATAAATGTAGCAATATATATGCATATATATCATATTGTCTATATATTGTCTGTTCCAAGTACCTCATGTAAGTGGAATCATACAATATTTGTGTGTGTATAAATTCCACTTATATGATGTACCTGGAATATTCAGATTCCTAGGACAGAAGTCACCAGGGCCTGGGAGGGAGGAAAAGGGAGTTAGTGTTTAAGGCGGGGGGCGGTCAGAGTTTTGGTCTGGGAAGATGAAAAAGTTCTGGACATGGATGCTGGTGATGGCCACACAGCATTGTGAATGCACTTAATGCCACAGAACTGTGCACTTAAAAGTGGTTAACGTGGGGTGACTTTTATGTTGTGTATATTTCACCACCAATATATAAAATGTATAGTGTATGTACATATTAGCTCAACTCTTATTTAGATATACTTATGTAACTATTTTCAGACAGTTTAGATTTTCCTTTTTGCTCTCTCTCCTCCATTGTATGCCTTGGTTTGAGCCTTTTATGGCCTAACTATTTTCTGGGTTTAGGTCTTACACAACCGAGAGGAGCATCCCTGGGATAAAAACCCTACGGCCCTCTCTTCCCTCTGCTTTTCCCACAGTCACCCTCTTCTCAGTTGCTTTTAAGCAGAAAGCTTTACTAGTTAAACTCTGTGATTTTCAGTGGTACATTTAATAATTCATAAATCATGAGAGGTTCAAACAGGTTCAAAGTTTAAAAGTTTAAAAGTTTTGCTGAAGCTTTAAAGTTTAAACTGTCAGAAGCTTTGACAAAAAACTTTTCCTGTCTGGAATATTTAAGATTGTTGTTCCATATTAGATTCAGGACTCCGCGATGTACTCCTCTCCCAAAACGCTTCTCCTAAGGAAATCCTGGCATCGTCTGCGTGGTGATGTTCCTCTGTGGCGTGGACACGGCGGGTCCAGGAGATCAGCAGGTACGGGAGCAGCCTGGGGACGGGGCGGGAGCTGTGACAACCCACACTTTGTGGGGAAAGGCACTTAGTCGGCCAGAATCGCCTTTGTGTGGGGATTTCTCTTTAAAAGAAGGGAAACTGTAAAATGAGATCCTGGCCAGCGTGTGTAACAAGGTCTTGGCGGCAGAAGACCGTGAGCTGTGCATATCTGCTATTTCAAAATCTGGAAGCAGAGAGGCCAAATCTTCTGCTGGCCTGCCGCTGACCTCTGAGTTTTTAGGCATAATTACTGTATTCGCATGTGCAATTGAGTGTGGTATCAGCCGCCCGCGCCAGAACCACTTTGTGGAGTTTGTGGGACAAGAGCAAACACTGTCACTTCCCTCGCAGACTGGGTGACCAAGCCCGGAACGTGTACCCTGATGCTGCATATACTGTGTTGTTCTGATAACGTCACTCTGTTTCTCAGAAACCTACCGTGGGTCCCAGTGGCCTTTCAGGTCAGATCCAAGGCCTTAGTCACGGGCTTTCGGAGCCATTGCGCCTCACGCCAGACACTCACCTCAGACCAGCAAACCCTCGCTTCCCACCCACCCGGCTCCCTGCAGCCTCTGACATTTTCCACTTGCTGTTCCTCGAAGCTGAGAAGATTTTCTTTCTTCTTTTCACCAAACACATCTTTGCCTTTCCTCCAAATTCTCCTCTACCATTGGCTTCCACAAGCCATCAGCATCAACGCCAAGAACAATGTCAGCATCATCGCCATCTTTTCCCAGGTTCCAGGATGTGGTGACGGCAGATTGTAAAATGCTCCCATGACGCAAATGAAGTTATACGGACTCCCGACACAGGTAACCACCCTTGGACAATAATGACTGCACTTGCACATAAATTACCGGCTTTGATCCTAACAACCTCCCATCCACACCTTTTTCCTCCTGCGGTGACACTTCAAGGTGCTCTGCTGGCTTCTCCAAGGATTCCTGATGAGAAAACCCAACACCGATTTTCAGGTCTCTCCTCGATGGCCGCTTGGTGGCACCTGACACTCCCACCCCTGTTTTCTTAAACCTTTCCACCCTCTTGACTTTAATTTTCTTGCCTGCCTCTGTGACTCGCCCAGCTCGCCTCCTCCAGCCCCTCTCCTCCTCCTCCTGCAGCGAGGGTGCTCACAGGTCCAGCTCCTTCACCTGTGGCTGAGCTACAACCCATATCCTAGTGACCCCAAGTCTGGGTCTCTCCTCCTCAACTCTCCTGGGTCCCAGGGCCACTGTCCGTGTCCCCACTGGCTCCCAAACCAGAATCCAGCAAACTCATCAACCATGAATGGATTGCCTTCCACCTGCAATGAAAATTGGTAAGACACACGCCCTGCCCACCCTCTACATCCATCTCAAACTCGATATTTCGTTTTCTTTGTGCAACTACTCCTTCTATGGGTCCTGTTTAGGGTCTAGTTGTCCAGAGTAGAAACCTCAGAGCCACTCTTAGTGTCTTCCCCCCTCAAGTTCCCCGTCTGACCTGAGAGCAACCCCTGCTGCTTTAGCACCACCCACCTCTCTCCCCCTGCCTCGACTCCAACCTGCTACGATTTCCTTAATTCCAGCTCTCCTCATCTCTGGTCGTGAACTATTGCAGTTACCTCTTTTCTGGTTGCCCTTCCTCTCTTTCCCTGTTCCAATCTTTACACGGTCTAACACGGAAACAGTCAGGTCACTGACTGTCGACAGTACCATTTCCCAAAGCTATAGTCCACACTCTTGGACATGAATACAATGCCTTTCCCAGCCTGGCCCCCATCAACCTTAACAGCTACATAGTCCCCCGCATCCTCTCCCTCCTCCTTCTCTCTTCACTCTTAGCTCCAGACAGACCAAGCTTCCTTCTGTTTCCTGAGACTGCAGTCTCATTCAGTCTCCATACCTCTGCAAATACAGTTTCTCCAACGTGGATGGCCTTTATCCTACTTTCTGCTTGGTGAGCCCTCATTCATTCACGGGGTCCAGCTCACCTCCACCATGAAGCTTCTGAGGACTCCTCTGCCTGTGGAGAGACACACCCTTCCCTCCCGCTCCTGGACCGCTGTGCTCCATGCGCACGCCCCTCCGTGGGACAAGCATTCCTCGCCTGTGGGTCTCAGGACGGCTCATCTTTGAGCCCTCAGCGCCTAATACAGGGCCTGGCACTGCAGGTGCCCGTCTCTCTTCTGAACAAATTAAATCTCATGGCACCAAATGACACCCCCTGGATAATCAAGTGCAGGTAGGGTGGGGAAGCACAGCCCCTAATTCAGATTCTTTGTTCGTCTCCAGTTGCAACCTCATTGAAATTTTCACCTTTCCTGGATAAGTGTGAACACTTGGAGAGGAAAGAGGAAAAATTCTCATTTCAATGAATCTTCTCTCCCCAGCGGACTCAATCTACCTTTCTCTGTGGGTTGTAAAACTCATTGATCCAGTGGCATGTGTTTTAGGTATCCCATGTAAAGTTCAGTTTTCTACTAGAGTGGCTGTAACTCATTTTGTGCTAAAATCATGCAGATATTGGTCTGGTTCGTAGTTGACTCTCTTTTCTGGCATATGAATTAAGGATAATTTAGAGAAATATAGGCACCGTGATATTTGTGGGTAGGTTTTCCTTTGCTTCAATCTCTGGCGAGATGACCCTTGCATATGTCAGGTTTTGAAGTCAGACACTCCGGGTTTAAATCTGGCTCCATCAGTGTGTGACCTGTAGCATGTCTCTTTCTGCCTCAGTTTCCTCATCTGTAAAATGGAAAAAGTGACACCTCACAGGCCTGTTGTAAAGATTAAATAAGATCATATCTTTAAGCATTTATCACAGAGGAAGCCCTCAAGCATTGCTACCACTCACCGTGCTAAGTGCTTTATACATTATGTAACTATATACACATGCACAGACACACACATATTGCCTACCACAACATATAATCCTTACAACAAGTCTATATTGCAGGTACTATAATTACCTCCACTTTATAGGTGAAGAAAATGGAACGGATGAAGTATCTTGCCCAAAGTCACACAGCTAGTAAGTAGCAGACCTGGAATTTAAACGTAGGCAATCTGGAGTCCGAGTCTATGCCCTTACCACCCATCATAATGCCTCAGTGCACTCGATAAATGGTAGCTATCATCACTATCACCATCACCATCATCATCTCCATCATCATCATCTCCATCCCCATCGCTATCCAGGATGTCACCATGTCTGTCTATCTCTCATTACAAAATCGCTCCAGCAGGGCTGTTTACTCAGTCAGCCCTGGGGTGGTAACTTCATTGCACAAATAAAATTGTATTCGTCTGGCAACCTCTGGGGCTGCCCCAAAGGTCGATCTCATGCGACGCTAATACTTGGATAGTAGGAAAGACTTTCAAGGGAGGTCTTGGGATTCCGAAGAGTCAAGCCAGGATACAAGCTGGCCCAAAGCAGAGCGTGTGGCCCTGGCATCACTTCATTCCACTTGCTTGTTGTTTTCCTTCTTTTAGCTGCAGAAAGAGGCCAATTGATTCCTTCTTCCCAACCAACTCCAGCTAGACTGAGAGATTTTGTAATCGTGTCTGTCTCAGATCACAGCCCACAGAAATCAGACACAGAAATGCTCACTCGGGCTGTCCACACGTTCCACCCGTGAGCCAGGAAATGAGAACTCTTAATCCAGTGTCACTGTTTTGTAGTAAAAAAATAACATTACTTGTAAAAAATAAGAGGAATTCAATGTATCTTAGTGCCATGGGCTTGTTTACCAACATTTCATTTAGCCTGTGTTTCCTTTTCTTCCCTGTCGTCACCTACATTTACTGACTGTTCTTCTTTACCTACTTTCCCCCAACTCTCATCTCCGAATTTATTCTTTGGCTTTACCCCAATTAAGGGTCTTTACCCTCTGTCGTCCATACAAAATATGCTTTCCTGAAACACTCTTGCTTTTGGAATCAGGCAGGTCTGCCTTTCAATTCTGATTGTTCGGCATTAGGTGAGCTGCCTTCCCTATGCCTCCGTTTCTGCATACATCAAATGGCTGTAGTAACAGTAACTAACACTGGCTGAGAATTGACACAGGTTGATTGCTATGCGAGATGCCTTTTCCCAAGCTTGCAGGCAAAATTACTGAAGGAAGGAAGTGACTAAAAGGTCCTATTCGGCCCCTGGCCTCTTGGCAGGAGGCATAGTTCCACCCTGAAGGAGAGAATGAAGACTGAGTCACCTGTCAGACCAGTGCACACAGCGCAGCACCACAGGCACCATTTAATCCTCAAGAAAATCCTATGGGGAAGGTATTGTTTCTACCCCCCTTTAGAGATAAAGAACTGAAGTTGAGAGTAACTTGCCCAAGGACACCTGATGAAGTAGTGGCAGAGGAGGGACTCTTAGTTACCATGTGATACAACAATAATAAACAGTAGCAGCGACAATTAGCGGTCATTGAGCTTTTATCATGTGCCAGGTACCTGTCCAGGAGCGGGGCAGGGATGGTTTCATTTAATCCTCACATCAACTCTATGAAGTAGATACTATTCCGGAGCCCATTTTACAAATGCGTAGATTGAGAGGAAAGCGTGTTAAGTGACTCACCAAAGGTTGCGTGCGTGGTAAACCGACAGCCAGAACTTAGGACCTGATGGACTGAATTTAGAGCCGGAACCCATCCCATGCTCTCTCTTTAAAATGAAATAATAAAATATGCAGATAAAGGGCTTAGCCCAGTGCCTGGCGCACAGCAATCTTGAATATATTATCATTGTCGTTGTTACCACTATTTTAATGATAGTCAATATTTTAATATTGCTCTGCTCTGCAAGGCATCTCTTGGCTCATCTGTAGCATATGAACTCCAAGCACAGATCTGAGTGGACAGAAGCCCATATTCCTTGAGTCATTTGATCTTTGCTTATCTTAACTGCCTTCTGCAAATGTCGATAACAAGGTCCCCATCCCAACCTCGATTTGTCATCGCCCCAAGTTTTCTCTTCCAGCAGTCCTTCAACTAAAATGATCCTGGAAATTGCCTTTTCTTTTTATAGCAGCTCTGTATTAGTTTTCTATTGCTGTATAAAAGATTATCTCAAATTTAGTGGATTGAAACAATACACTTTTATTACCTCACAGTTTCTGTAGGCCAGGAGTCCAGTCACGGCTGAGCTTGGTCTTCTGCTCAGGGTCTTACAAGGCTGCCATCAAGGTATTGGCAGGGCTGCATTCCTTCTGGAGCTCAGAGTCCTCTTCGGAGCTCATGTGGTTGTTGGCAGAATTCAGTTCCTTGTGGTTGTAGGACTGTGGGCCCCTGGCTTCTTGATGGTTATTGGCTGGAACCCACCCCCCCAAGTCCTAGAGGCCCCCCCACAGCTCTCAGTCACATGGCTCTCTTCATGGGAAGCCCACATCAGAGCAGCTTGCTTCTTCAAGGCCAGCAGAAGAATCTCTCCCCCAGTCTGCAAAGATGGAGTCTTACAGAACAAAACAATTGAGGGAATGAGATCCCATCCATCACCTTTGTCATATTCTATTGGTTAGAGGAAATTACACAAGTTGGGTCATTGAAGCTCATACTGGGGTGTGTCCACAAGTTTCCTGACTTCAAATTTAATTCTTCCCCCACCTCAACTTCCTTTTCTTCCCCAAACAGTACCAGGTCCCATTTCATCTTCATTTTCACATCCACACAAAGCACTTTCTTACTGTGTCTATAAAGTTCTAAAATTCATTCTTTTTTCCACATTTATAGAATAGTAGGAGTCTGAGCCTAGACCTCTCGTTTTCTTTCCATTTCACCCAGGACTATAGTTTATTCTTTTTTTTTTTTTTTTGTGGTACGCAGGCCTCTCACTGTTGTGGCCTCTCCCATTGCGGAGCACAGGCTCCGGATGCACAGGCTCAGCGGCCATGGCTCACGAGCCCAGCCGCTCCGTGGCATGTGGGATCTTTCCGGACTGGGGCACGAACCCGTGTCCCCTGCATCGGCAGGCAGACTCTCAACCACTGCGCCACCAGGGAAGCCCTATAGTTTATTCATTTTTAACAGCTTATTAATATGTAATTTACATACCATAACATTCAAAGTGTACCACTGGGTATATATTTAGAGAATTAGGCAACCATCCCCATGATATAATTTTAGATCTTTTTTCATCACCCCAGAAAGAAACTGCACACCTTTAGCAGTCACCCCGCGCCATTTCCCCTGTTCCCCTCAGCCCTTGGCAACAACAAATCTGTTTTCCGTCTCTATAGATTCATCTGTCCTGGACATTTCATATGAATGGAACCATACAATATGAGGTCCGTTGTGACTGGCTTTTTTCACTGAGCGTAATGTTTCTGAGGTTCATGTGTGTTACAGTATAAACAATATTATTATGGCTATATAGGAAGTTCAGAGTGTTGTAGACAAAACAGCCAGGAAATGAAGGAGTTTAACTTACAAAAATAGGGTTAGGGCTTCCCTGGTGGCGCAGTGGTTGGGAGTCCGCCTGCCGATGCAGGGCACATGGGTTCGTGCCCCGGTCCGGGAAGATCCCGCGTGCCGCGGAGCGGCTAGGCTCGTGAGCCATGGCCGCTGAGCCTGTGCGTCCGGAGCCTATGCTCCGCGGCGGGAGAGGCCACAACAGTGAGAGGCTCGCGTACTGCAAAAAAAAAAAAAAAAAAAAAAAAAATAGGGTTAGAAATAAGCATCTTCACTCATTTTTCCACCTTTCAATTTTTTTATAAGAACTTATTATACATAAGTCCCTGGAGGGAAGAAAAGATAAATATGATTCAGCCAATGGCCCTTACGAAGCTCAGGCTGATAAAGAAACCAGGCAATTCACAGGTATAGAGAACAAACTAGTGGTTACTAGTGGAGAGAGGAAGTAGGAGAGAAGCAGTATAGGGGGAGGGGAGTAAGAGGTACAAACTATTATGTATAAAATAAGCTGCAAGGATATATTGTACAACATGGGGAATATAGCCAATATTTCATAATAACTATAAATAGAGTATAACCTTTAAAAATTGTGAATCACTAATTGCACACCTGTAACTTATATAATATTGTATAGCAACTATACTTCAATTAAAAACAAACAAAAAAGAAACCAGGCAAAAACACAACTGATACACTATAGTTTTGCCAGGTTATTCAGCACCCATAAACATCAGAGAAGAGGAAATGCAGAGTGAATTTTCAACTCACTGGGATAAAACAGAAGCCAAAACTAATCTAAGATGTGAATTGTTTTTTAGAAAAAAAGATAATGTTAACCAATAGTCTTCGCTTTTAGTTATACGGAGCTTGATGATTTTTTTTAATGGGGAGGTTTGGCTTTTGTTTGTTTGTTTGTTTTTGAGAGCTGTCACGTGTGGACCCGGCAGAGCCTAGGGGCTTGCAGGTCCAGGCAGAGAGCTGGGGGGAGGGGCAGGCTTTTCCCCAGGGGCTAGGGTTCCCTGTCCTGACAGCAGCCCCAGGAATCCCGCAATCCATTCTGTAGCGATCAGCCCGTGGATGTGTGCTCCAAGCCTGGAGGATTTTCGCTGCGACTTTGCAATTTTTCTTTTACCCAGAGGTCAGCATTTGACTATGGAAAACAGTTCTGACTCAGACAAGCGAGGAATGATGAGCCTAAAGGGTTCTGTCAGCAGGAACTAACCTACATGTGGGAACTCTGGATGCTTCACAAAAGGGCAAGTTCAAGAATCCTTGAAACTAAGAGGTGTCTGTCACATCAGCTGAAGAAAACAGTAAAATAATGAAACATTTACCACAAAAGG